GAGAGAGAGAGAGGGAGAGAGAGAGAGTCTGAGAGAGATAATGAGACACGTGATAAATTTAAATATTTATCGTAATTATCTATGGAAAAACACGAATAAACATATTTGAAAAATCTCAGCCAGCTCAGCTCTTTTTTCCATAGAGTACATGTGATAGTCATACATGTTATACAGTGTGTTAGTGCCCCGCAATTTAATACAGTACATAAATAGTAATGATAAGTCAATTGATTAGATATTTAGTATTAAATATAAAAACTTTTCCATCCCTTCGTATAAAATGATACAAACATTTTCATAAATTGAGTGTATGTTTAGGCAGTTTTATATGAGAAACACAACATTAATGTTCATATTTTAAGTGTAAATCACAGTAACAACTAGTTTTTGATTACATTGTATTTTTTCATCTCTCATGATATCGAGTGTACGTTGAATATCATTATTCAAATACACAGTGTATTTACATTCATAGAAAAAATAACAAAAAAATTAATTATCATCAGTAAATTACAGTAAAAAAAATTACAACGTAAAAAATTCTAATTAAAAAATTAATAATTAATTAATCTGTTATAATGCCCTCGAACGAGCAGGGTCAACTCCACCTAATAGTTGGCACAAACGTGATAATGTCATCGATGGCCTCCGAGAACGTGCCGGTGATATACATACCGGAAGAGTTGCGTCAAACGGATCGCATTCAACGGCTGGTCAAACGGTTTGAGGACAAGTTTGGCGACAAACCGGTATTCCTGGTACGAGTGCCCGGACGGGTGAACATCATAGGCGAGCACATAGACTACGTGGGCTATTCGGTGCTACCCATGGCACTCAAACAGGACATCGTGATGGCCGTGTCGGTGAACAGCACCGGCCGTATCGAGTTGACCAATCTGGACCAGGAAAACTACCATGATGAATCCATAGACCCCACGGGGTTGGAGTTCCCGCAACCGCCCCAATGGTATCACTATTTCCAGTGCGGTTATCGCGGTATTGTCGATAGGTTTTGCAACGGTCAGCCACCCCTGGGTTTGAATGTGGCCGTTCACGGCACGATACCGGCCGGCTCGGGCCTGTCCAGCTCGTCGGCCATGGTTTGTGCCGCCGCTTTCGCCACAATCATCGCCTTTCACCAGAAGACCAGTGAGTTTTTTTTGTTGACCACTTTTTTAGACGCCAATCAATAGACTCATAGATGTAATGCTTTTTTTCTCTCCATCACTGATGAAAAACTAAAAAACAATGTATTTTTTGTGTACACATACTGTATATTATGTTATTTTTTATGTGATTTTTCATCAGTGATTGCAAAACATTACTTTTACAGTTAATCTCTTGTTATCACTGAATAGTGTTTTGTGTGTTAATTATTATGTATTGTAATTAATGATGTCTTTCACACCCCATCACCACTAGATATGCTATCGATTCCCATCAATAAGCTAGAGATCACACAACTGTGCATAAAGTCCGAGCGCTATATCGGCACCGACTCGGGCGGTATGGATCAGGCGATCGCTCTGTTGGCCGAAGAGGG